GTGAAAATTATGATATGTAGGATCTCTATGCAACATTAATAAAGCATCAATAAAAATAATGAAAGAAAAGTAAGAACGGAGAGAGAAAAATAAAGAAAAAAAAGGCAAGAGAAAGGGAAGGGAAGACAGTAAGAAAACTAAAAGAACTTATGCCTTTGGACTTTCCAAAGCAAATACCTGCCTTCAGATTCTTCCCCTGCACCATGAATATAAAGGCAACAGAAAAAAAGCCACTTATAAATTTACAAATTTAATTCAAAACATAGGGGGAAATACCCTAACTATAGAAAAAGACAAACATAAGTTTCTTCTGCAAAAAGACCATGCTTACTATGTTTGTAGTGTGTATGTGTAAAATTCCTGTTCTTTTTCTCACCTTTTAAATAATTAGTTTTTCTTCCCCCTCCCTTTTTTGCACAAAGTAACAGAAAGATAGAAATGAATTTCTCTATACAAATGCATCAGCAATGATTGATTCCTAGAATTTTAAAGTTTACTGAGTCAGTAACTGCTAATACATGCATTTTGTCAACTTTCTATATCACTCAAAGACAGAATCTTTCTTTAGAGCAATATAAAAGCCTGGTGGCAGTTATAGGAAGCTCAGGTTCAGTCTCTATATTATCTGGAAACTCATTCAGACTCCCAAAGCTCCTATCCACAGTATTTCACACATCATAATCTTTCTTCAATTTTAAAGAATACAAACCCAAATAACATTTAAATAATATAAACCATTATTATAATGGCTATTTATTTGGGTTTAAAAAAATAAACAAAACAGGTAATCTTGACAGTAAGATGAAAAAGGCATTCATGGCAATCAAAACATTCATGAAAGTGACCGCAGAACTTCTTGGCTAAATTCTAAATGAAGTCTGATTCTACTTAAACTTATTGTACAAACTGCACCTGACTTTTATGAGCAATTAGCACTTTATAAATAAAGGTTTCTTCTCTGACCAACTCAATTGGGACACCCTAGCTTCCAGCACAGCTATCTACAGCAGTCAGCAGGCCATGAGAAGCCTCTGAAGAGAAAAAAATAATGCAGCAGCAGAGCTTCGAATATTATGGATAAAAACCAAACTGGCTGCTATCAATGTTCAAGAGTAAATTCTTTTTTAATGAATATCTGTCAGCCATGATAAGATCCCAAAGTTTGGCTAATTTTTATTCTAATTTACAGGTATTTCCCCACATATCAAGGGGACTTAATTCAAAAGTTCATTTAAAGGCCCATTATTTTCTATCAAGATGACAAAGCCTATAGTTCAGCTTCTCTCTGAGTTAACTCTAAAGCCTATAGTTCAGCTTCTCTCTGAGTTAACTCTATTTCAGCAGGCTAGCCTAGAAATGTATTATTTTTCTATGGAGAAATGTATTATGGGCCTCAACTTGAGATGTCAAAAATAGTACATCTTTTTCGCTTATTGAGTCTGTGCCTAATCTGACAGGAACTCTGCCTCTTTCCTGGTCTATATAAACACATCTAATGCCCCATTACTTTGTCTGTTAAACCATAATGTTGATTCCTGTCAATTCCTAAGCCCACTCTTCTCTCACTCTAAAATTGCTTCTCTTTTCCTTTTCCCTTACTCTCATATCCTTGACAATTTGAGAACTATTTATTTCTGGAGTCCCCCACTTTTGGCAATACGTTTACATGTCTCTGGATTTCCTGACTCAGCTTTGAACTCAACACATTCTTCAGAATTTGGGAAGACACCACAGGTATAAATAGAAGTCTCCCTCTACTAATTTAACTCTCATGGACTCCATCTACTAACTGGGCTGATCCCTGACATTCTTCCAAATATGTAAAATCAAACTTCAAGGGTTCTGAAAAAGAAGGGACTTGGAGGAGGAGTGAGGTAACAAGTAGGGCTACTGTTTATTTTTTGTTTTGTTAATCTTCACCTGAGGATATTTTTTTCTATTGCTTTTTAGAGAGTGGATAGGAGGGAGAAATGGAAGGAGAGAGGACGAAGCAGAGGGAGAAGGAGAAACAGAGGGAGAGGAAGAGAGAAAAGGAGAAGGAGAAAGGGGAAGATGAGAAGAGGGAGAGAGGGAGAGAGGGGGAGAGGAAAAGAGGAAGAGAGAAATACTGATGTGTCATGAGAGAGACACATGGACTGGTTGCCTCTCACATGTGCCCCCACAGGGGGTAGAGAGTAAATCCACAAACTCAAGTAAGTGTCCTTGCCCAGGAATCGAACCCGTGACCCTTTGGTGCACAGATCAATGCTCTAACCACTTATAAACACTATCCAGGGATAGGGCTACCATTTAGATAGAATATAGGCTATTTATATGGAATACAGGCTAGAGCAGTGTTTTTCAACCTTTTTTGGGCAAAGGCACACTTGTTTCATGAAAAAAATCACGAGGCACACCACCATTAGAAAATGTTAAAAAATTTAACTCTGTGCCTATATTGACTATATATAAAGTAATTCTCTTGAATAGGAATCAAATAAACACAAAGAAAGTATTTTATAATTACTTTATTATGAAATATTAAGTAAACAAAATAGTGAAAAATTATAAAATTCTTGTCTTGTCTGCACCTACGGCACACCAGGCAACATCTCGCGGCACACTAGTGTGCCGCGGAACAGCGGTTGAAAAACGCTGGGCTAGAGAAAAGTAGAAGGCAGTGGGATGGAGGGATGGGAATAAGGGAGCAGCATTGTCACTGATGACCTCCAGCAGTTGCTTTTCCTCCTTCTCTATCCTTCCTTGTTTCCTCTGGAAGGACCTAAGGCCCTTATCTGGAATAAATTCCCAGGGACAGAATCAACATGCTAGCTGCCTACTGTTGCCTCAGACCAAAGTTTCTGTCCACCCCATCAAATTATAGAAAGAACACAGGCTTCTTCCCTTTTTCTCTACCTCTGAATAAGCATCAGTTATTCTTAAGTTTTCTATGGTTTAATACTGCTAGTCATGATGGGAAAATAGAGGGTAAACATTACTAAAAAGATTAAGTTTTAAGAGCCTCACATTCATCATTCGCCTGGTATTCAATGACATAAAAATGAGGCTCTGGATTTTCTAAAAGCTTTCCTGATTGCTTTCTCACCAGGACCCTCGGATTCTATTTATTCCAAGTTACTCCAATTTTTTTGAGTTTTCTATTTTCCAGGGAGCCATGGGTCTGGGGGTTATACAGTCAGACCTCTGAGGTGGCCTTTCGGTCCACCATTTTAATCACAAAAAACAACAGGATATCCAGTGTGCTTTTTCTGCTGCTGTCCCCTGACTCTGCTACTTACTAAATGTGTTCAATGATTTGTGGAAAGAGTTACATAATCTCTTGAAACCCCATGTTCTTGTTTAAAAAGAGAACAGTGGTTCTCTTGCTTACAGAAATATTATAAGAACCCGTGAGACACTATGCACAACACCTGGCACATGGCAGGCATCCAAACAACAATGGCAATTACTACGGTCCCCACCACCCTTCCTGTTACCACGGTATACCCAGCCCCCAACTAAAGAGACAAGGTGAGAGATAGGAAACCAGAGCTGAGGAGTGAGCCCCGTTTCCCTGACCACACCTCTTACTGCTTATCTACCTACACATTAAAAGTAGAATAAGAAAGCAAGAAATAGAGAAAGTAAGCTAGGTTTTATATGATTCTAAAGTGGAGTCAGGAAGTTAGGAAAATCTTAGAAATAGGAAAAAGAAGGATATTTTCTTGGCTTTATAATTAAAAATGAAAATAGCACTTATCATAATGTACAAAATAATATACAGTCTATCTAAATATTTAAAAAGAGTTGTTCCTGTCTTGAATCCAAAAGAAAGTCCTTGTAAGTATCAAGATAATGTAATATTTATAACCAAAAAATGTCTTTCCAATCATATTTTTTCACATTCCTAATTATATCTCCTATTTTAAACATTCCATTTAGTTAACCCTTAGTTCATACTGGCAAGCCATGGGACTGAAATATTCCATATAAATGGACATTTTATTTATTCTATTAAAAAAAACATACAATGCAATGTAGCTCATACCTTGAATACATAGCTCCTCTAACATTCACATGCAGGATACATCTCTCCAGGCAAAATCCTTTTGTGAATTTACTCTCTTTCTAATTAGCCCTCAAATAATACCAGCCAGATCTATTCCCCCCGTTTTCCAGCTTAAGTAGCAGAGATAATAAACTAATGATAAGTGAAGCTACCACACACTTTTCCCTCTTCTTACTGAATCAAGCTTCTTTCAATTAGCTGTTTATAAAGTTGCTCACTGCAAATCTCTCACATGTTTTTATCCCCTAACAATAGGCATGCTGTTTCCCAACTTGGAAAATTAACATTAGCATCCACATTGATTGGGCAGTTGTTGATGGCGGTCATTTTCCAAGCAGCCAACTTAAGGCCATGCACAGAGCTGCCTTTGTAGTGAGAAAAAAGATTTCTCTGCAATGTATGGTGATGTTGAAGCTGTTTTGTACAACCCACTGCTCCTGGCTCAAATACATGCAAATTACAGCAAATGTTCTGTGGCGAGTAGTCTAGAGGGCACTGAAAAGATGGTTAATCTAATAAAAAAGGTAACACACTTGATAGTTTCTTCTTCTGAGTTCTAAATTTTAACATACGAAGTTTTAAAATTTTACCAAAAATTCCAAAGGAAAGCAATTCATTTTCAAACCTATATTCTTTTCTCCCTCTCTGAATTACTGTGAAAAGAAACCAAGAAGCTTCTCTTTTGACATTTATTAATTATAGTTTTATAAAATCAACTCGTCCGTATTCACTTGGCAAAATATAACATCCTAAGGCAAGTAAATTTGGTTCTAGATAAAAGAAACAATATTTATCAATACTATGTTTGTCCAAGTTAAAGAAAGCATATAATGATTATTTGATAACACTCCTTCCAAAAAGGTAGTATTAAGTTTTCTTTTAAGAAGAGGAATGGTAGATCAAAAGCATAAATGATTTTCAAGAAAATTAAAGACTTGTAGTTCATACTTACCTGGCAGGGGAGATACCAAGATCATCAAGAGTTGTAGTCCAGGAAATCACTGGCAGCTTAGCTTAGAAAACCCTCTCCTGTGTAATAAATTAAGACAATGGAAAGCTATCCAACTCCAGGAAAAAGATATAGACAGCCTGTATCTCATCAGCATGAACAGGCACAGTTTAAAAGCCAAGTAAATTGAATTATAACTATTTTTCAAATCTTCAATCACTGGAAGCTAAAAGCTTATTTCTTCTCTTTGTCTCATCTTTCCAGAGTACAGATACCTATCTCCCCTTTAACATCAGAAATTTGGTACAGAGTTCAGTAATCATTCATACAAGGAGTGCCAAGGTTCTGATTTAATTCCTTCTGGCATTCTGACAAGGGGAGGGAAGGTAAATGGCTGGCAGTGGCTCTCTCAAGCATGGAAAGGTCAGTATAGTGATGGTGGCCACTGAAAATTATCCCTTCTTTTGTACATCCACTTGAGACTACAATGTTTGGGGTAGTACATATTAAGGATTAAATCATCCTTATGTAATGTGAGCTCTGGTAGATCTCATTCTCAAATACGTACCAAATTGCATTAGCAGGGTACAGCTTTTGCAAATGTCTTCTTATATTAAAGTACAAGAAACAGATCAAGTACAGACTCAAACATCTTTATTCAAAATGTACTAACTCTTCGGAATGCTTTTAAATATCTTAATTATTTTAAAAAATTGTTTTTACAACTTTTTGTAAGACTTGCTGGTGCCTAATGGCTGCCTTGGATATATCCTGCACGATTTGTCTGATTTGGGGGAAGAATATTTAAATAATATTGTAAAAAAATCACAGAAATAGTATTCCATTAAGGGCTCCTAATAATGTCCACTGGCAACTCCCTAAATGTACTAATCCCTTTATGACAGAGCATCAGGTACTATATTACTATACTCTTAAGAGTTAAGGATTCTACCTCAATATGTTCAGTATATTTATATTATTTTAGGTGCTTATCACATGTATGGCAACCTCTTCTCTAGGAGTGAGTCAGTCATCAGCCTTCTATAAAAACAAATAACAGGATTCTGTTAAGCAATAGTAATTTATAATAAACTAGAGGTCTGATGCACAAAATTTGTACATGGGGCAGGGGGTGTCCCTCAGCACTGCCTGCACCCTCTCCTATCTGGGACATCCCTCTCACAATCCAGGACTGCTGGCTCCCAACCACTCGCTTGCCTGCCTGTCTGATTGCCCCTAACTGCCTTCTCCTGCTGGCCTGGTAACCCCTAACTGCCCTCCCTTGCCAGCCTGGTCACCCTAAACTGTCCTTTCCTACAGGCCTGGTTCCCCCCACCTTCCCTCTCCTGCAAGCCTGCCCCCACCCCCAACTACCCTCCCCTGCAGGCCTGGTCCCTCCCAACTGCCCTCCTCTGCCGGCCCAGTCAACCCTAACTGCTCTCCCCTGTAGGCCTGATTGCCCCCAACTGCCCTTCCTTGCAGGCCTGTTCCTCCAAAACTGCCCTCCCTTGCAGGCTTGGATCCCCTGCAACTGTCCTTCCCTGAAGGGCTGGGTGCCCCCAACTGCGCTCCTCTGCTGGCCCGGTCACCCCTAACTGCCCTCCCCTGCTTCCCTGATCACCCACAACTGCCCTCCCCTGCTGTTCTGATCACCCACAACTGCCCTCCCCTGCTGGCCATCTTGTGGCGGCCATCTTGTGTCCACATGGGGGCAGCCATCTCATGTGTTGGAATGACAGTCAATTTGCATATTTCTCTTTTATTAGATAGGATAGGAATGTTAAGTTTCCTTTCTTTTTTTTTTTTAAACTTGATAACACTTTTTTTAAAATATATTTTTTATTGATTTTATACAGAGAGGAAGGGAGAGAGATAGAGAGTTAGAAACATCGATGAGAGAGAGTCATCGATCAGCTGCCTCTTGCACACCCCCTACTGGGGATATGCCTGCAACCAAGGTACATGCCCTTGACCGGAATTGAACCCAGGACCCTTCAGTCCCCAAGCTGACGCTCTATCCATTGAGCCAAACCGGTCCCGGCTAAGTTTCCTTTCTAACCCACTTTTCACTAATTTATCTAGACAAACTATCCATGATATTAGTTTTAATTTTTGTAATCAATATATTTTTATAGTCTTAGTGAATGGTGGGTTGAGAATTAAATCTTTAAAAGTTCTGTATTAATCTCTACACACTTGAAAATATTTTAAAAACTTAAAAACATTTGAAAAGTCTGCATTAAATGAGTAACATGAGATCATAACTAAAACTTCAGATGATTCACAGATTAAAGGGTATTTAAGGTAGAAGAGTCTATTGATTAATTATAGAAACTAGATTAGTTTCCTTGGAGTCTCCTTTAAATTTAAGGGAAAACTTGGTTGAGTGGTTGAACCTGGAACAATCCAATTCCAGAAACAAGAGAACAGGCAAGTGCTACCAAAAAGACAGTGCAGTTTAATCTTTGTCATGCTTAATCAAAGAGAAAGAACAATGAAGCATATATAATGACTTAGTGAAGAGGAAAAGAACAAAAGGACTAGGGAGACTTAGAAAAGTTTCTAAAATAAAACAAAAAGCACGTATCTCTCCTCTCCATTCCTTCTTTATTTAATACTAGGGGCCCAATGCATGAATTCATGCATCCTGAAAGGAATGGTGGGCTGTGAGGTGGGCACAGCTATGGGTCTTGGCCCATCCTCCACACCTCTCCCCACCGCCCACCAGCCCCTCCTGCCGCCCCAGTCTTCTGTCTGCTGACAGCCCCACTCTGCTACCATCGCTCCCACGTGCTGATGGCGCGGAGTGATTGAGGCCGGCACCAGCAGCAGGTGCAAGTGGGGCTGGTGCCGTCAGTGGGTGTGAGAGGAGGCTACTGCCCTGATCGCCCCTCAGGAGCAAGGGGAGGTGGAGAAGCCCTCAGGGGCAATCTGGACTGGCAGCTGTTGCTCATACCCACTGATGGTGCTGAGTGATCGGGACCTGCACGAGGCACTGGCAGTAGGGTTGAGTGGTGGCTCCTGTGCCAGCTGTGGGTGTGAGTGGGGACAGTGCTAGCAGTGGGTGCAAGGGGGGCTGTCACTGGCAGCAGGTATGAGAGGAGGCTGCCAGCCCAATCACCCCTCAGAAGCAGGGGGAGTAGCTCTGAGGGGCGATTGGGGCTGGTAGCTGCTGCTTGCACCCACTGACAGCACTGAGCAATTGGGGCCAGTGCCCTGGGTGCTAGCTGTGGATGCAAATGGCAGCTCTAGTGCTGCAGTGGGTGCAAGTGGGTCTGGTGCCAATAGTAAGTGCGAGTGCTGGGCAGGACTGTGGCACGTGGGAGCAAAGAATTTTCAGTAACTACCAGAGGCTAGTCCAGATGACAGCAACTGGCACACCACCTTGGTCTGGCACCCCCGCTCACCTGCACCACCATCCCACTTCTGCCAATGCCTACCATATTCTGTTCAGTGCTGCCTGCTGCTGATACCTGCCATGTTCCATGCATGTGCCCCCTGGTGATCAGCACACGTCATAGCCCCTGGTTGTTTGGTTGTTCCTCCATTTGGTTTATTTGCATATTAGCTTTTTATTTTATAGTATTAATAAAGTGTCAAGGTAGTATAATATGCTAAATTCCAAATGAGTAACTAAACCTATACTATCCAAAATGGTAGCTACTAACCAATTGACTACTGAGCATTTGAACATTTTTGTTTTTTTTAATTCTCGCCTGAGGATATTTTTCTATTGATTTTCAGAGAGAGGGAAAGACAGAAATATCAATATAAAAGAAACACATTGATTGCTTGCCTCTTGCATGCCCTGACCAGGGGATGAGCCTGCAACCAAGGTATGTGTCCTTGACCAGAATTGTACCTGGGACTCTTTGGCCTGCAGTCTGATGCTCCATCCACTGAACCATACTGACTAGGGTGACTACTGAGCATTTGAAATGTTGCTTGTCCAATATGAAGACTTAGAACTAAAATAATCTCATTTAATATTTTTATATAGATCATACATTGAAATACTTTTTTCATGGTTTGGATTAAATAAAATATATTATCAAAATGAATTTCAACTGTTTCTTTTTAGGTTTTAAACATGGATATTAGAATATTTAAAATTATATATATATATATAATTTAAAATTATATATATATAAAATTATATATATATAAAATTATATATATATATAATTTATTTATTTATTTGTTTACTAATTTTAGAGAGAGGGGAAGAGAGGAAGAGAAAAAAAGAAAGGGAGAGAGGGAGGGAGAAAAAGAGAGAGAGAAACATTGATGTAGGAAAGAAACATTGACTAGTTGCCTCCTGTATGTGCTTCCACTTAGAATTGAACCTGCAACCTAGCTATGTATCCTGATGGGAAATTGAACTGGCAATCTTTCTGTGCATGGGAAGACACTCTAACCCAGCCACCCCAGCTACATGAATTATGCCTATTTAAAACATAATGACATAGAATGAAATCCTAGTTTATACATAATATTTTTTTTAAAGATTACTAGCAAAACACAAAATTATGTATTCCTTTCAAACCACATAAAAATGTTAAAAGGAGCCAAAACCGGTTTGGCTCAGCGGTAGAGCGTCGGTCTACGGACTGAAAGGTCCCGGGTTCGATTCCGGTCAAGGGCATGTCGTTGGTTGTGGGCACATCCCCGGTAGAGGGTGTGCAAGATGCAGCTGGTCGATGTTTCTCTCTCATCGATGTTTCTAGCTCTCTATCTCTCTCCCTTCCTCTCTGTAAAAGATCAAAAAAATATATTTTAAAAAAATGTTAAAGGGAGTATATTTAACATTAGGAAGGAAACATAAAGACGGAAAATAGCAAGAAAGCATTTTAAAATCTTCCAATTATACATTAAATACATTTACCTATTAAAAATCCCTTAGGTGTGATTTTTTTAAGTGTCCACAAGTGAGACATTTATCTATTTATTTTTAAATATATTTTATTGATATTTTACAGAGAGGAAGGGAGAGAGATAGAGAGCTAGAAACGTCGATGAGAGAGAAACATCAACCAGCTGCCTCTAGCACACCCTCTACCGGGGATGTGCACACAACCGACGTACATGCCCTTGACCGAAATCGAAACCGGGACCTTTCAGTCCGAAGACTGACGCTCTACCGCTGAGCCAAACCAGTTTCGGCTACAAGTGACACATTTAAAACAAATAGATTTAGAAAGCTTAAGAGGAAAAGGTAAAGATAAAAAGCAAGGGTTACATCAAAGTAGAACCCAAGCCATAAAAACATTACATAATAAGATCATGTTTTGTTTTTTTAAAATCCACAGCTCATATAACTTTATATGCCAAATAACTGTGCTAAAATATATATAAAGTAAAAACTGTTAAATATGCAAAATAAATAGATATCACTGGTGTGTTCAGTGGTTAGAGCAGCGGCCCATGCACCAAAGGGCTTCTGGTTCAATTCCCAGTCAAAGGCACATGCCTAGGTTGCAGGTTCCCTCCCCACCTCCAGTCTGGGCAAGTGTGGGAGACAACCAATCCATGTACCTCTCACATCGATGTTTCTCTCTCTCTTCCACTCCCTCTCTTTCATCCTTCCTTCCTTTCATTCTCTCTGAAAGCAATGGACAATTATCCTCAGATGAGGAATAACAAGCAAACAAACAAAATAAAAGTAGTAAGATTTCCATTATTCGCAGATGACATGATATTTTGTACATAGAAAACCCTAAAGACTCCATAAAAAAACTACTAGATTTATTAAATGAATTTGGCAATGTAGAAGGATTCAAAATTAACATGCAGAAGTCTATGGCTTTTTTATACACGAATAATAAACTCACAGAGAGAGAAACTAAAAAAAAATAATAATAATCCCATTTACCATTGTAACAACAAAAAAAAATATTAAAATACCAAGGAATAAATTTAACCAAGGAAGTAAAGGATCTGTACTTAGAAAATTACAGGACGCTCAAAAAAGAGGTAGAGGAAGACATAAACAAATGGAAGAATATACCATATTCATGGATTGGTTGAATCAACATTATTAAATGTCCATACTAACCAAAGCAACTTATAAATTTAATGCAATCCCCATTAAAATAACAACAGCATACTTCAAAGACCTAAAACTCTCCAAAAATTCATCTGGAATAAATAAAAAAAAAGACCCCGAATAGCTGCAGCAATCTTGAGAAAGAAGAATAAAGCTGGAGGGATCACAATACCAGATATCGAGCTATACTACAAAGCCACTGTTCTCAAAACTGCCTGGTACTGGCATAAGAAGAGACATATAGATGAGTGGAAGAGAACAGAGAACCTAGGAATCAACATAAGCCATTATGCCCAATTAATATTTGACAAAGGAGGCAAGAGCATATAATGGAGTCAAGACAGTCTTTTCAATAAACAGTATTGGAAAAATTGGACAGCTACATTAAAAAAAAAAAGTGAAACTAAACCATCAATTTACACCACACACAAAAATAAACTCAAAATGGATAAAGGACTTAAACCTAAAATGGAAAACCATAAAAATCTTAGAAGCGATAGGCAGCAAAATAGCAGACATTTGTCATAGCAATGTTGCGAGAGTCCCACGTCCTGCGTGGTTCAGGGTTCAAGTTCAGGGTTCAGGTTTGGGCTCTGGAGGAGGCCACACGCAAATGAAAGAGTCAAGACAAGAAATAATAATTTGGAAATTGGGGGCCAGGTGGAAGCCCAAGGAAGGACTCCACTTTGCTACGGCCTTGCCATCTCTTTTATTCAGGTTTGGAATACACCCATATCCCTTAGGCAGGCAATTCCAGTAATAGCTCAGTGATAGCCTATCAACAAAGATTTACATAAGACTAAAAGGTGGAAGTTGCTTCAGCTACCTTTGTCTCAACTGGACAATGGGTGTCAGGCTCTGACCATTGCCAGAGCCTCAGGGTTGACCAGCCTTCCAGACTCCTTGCCATAAACAAATGGGACTACATCAAAATAAAAAGCTTCTGTGCAGCAAAATAAACCATCAACAAAATAAGAAAACCCATTGCATGGGAGAACATATTTGCCAATGTTATCTCCAATAAGAGTTTAATATCCAAAATTTATAGGGAACTCATAAAACTTAACAAAAGGAAGATAAACAATCCAATAAAAAAAAAATGGGCAATGGACCTAAATAGACACTTTTTGAAAAAGGACATACAGAAGGCCAGGAGACATATGAAAACATGCTCAAAGACACTAATCATTTGAGAGGTGCAAATCAAAACAATGATAAGTTTCCATCTCACACCTGTCAGAATGGCTATCATCAACAAATCAACAAACAATAAGTGCTGGAGAGGATGAGAAGAAAAAGGAACCCTCTTGTACTGCTGGTGGGAATGCAGACTGGTACAACCACTATGGAAAAGAGTATGGCATTTCCTTGAAAAACTAAAAATGAAACTCCCATTTGACCCAGTAATCCCACTTCTAGGACTATATCCCAAGAAACCAGAAACATCAATCAGAAAGGATATATGCAGCCCAATGTTCATGGCAGCACAATTTACAATAACTAAGATTTGGAAACAGCCTAAATGCCCATCAGCAGATCAGTGGATTAAAAAACTGTGGTATATCTACACAATGGAATACTATACTCCTATAAAAAAGAAGGAATTCTTACCATTTGCAACAGCATAGATGGAACTGGGGAGCATTATGCTAAGTGAAATAAGCCAGAGAAAGAGAAATATCCCATGATCTCACTCATTTATGGAATCTATAATAATAAAAGCACAATATGCTAATTAGATGGAACAGCCAAACGACCTTTCTGATGTCATTCCAGACGTCCTTTTGGACAAAGCCGCCACAGTAAGGCCAAGGTAGAGGTAGTTAGGGGCGATCAGGCAGGCAGGCAAGTGGTTAGGGACAATGAGGCAGGCAGGCAGAGTAGTTAGGGGTGATGAGGCAGGAGGTGAGTGGTTATGGACAATAAGGCAGGCAGGCAGGCAGAGTGCTTAGGGGCAATCAGGCAGGCAGGCAGGCAAGCAGTTTGGAGCCAGCATTCCAGGATTGCGAGAAGGTGCAGGCCAGGTTGAGGAACAACCCCCCCCCCCCCCCCCCCGCCCCATGAACAAATTTCGTGCATTGGGCCTCTAGTATACTATAATGAACATCATAAACTGATGAACAGAAATAGATACAGAGATAAACAGTGAACAGACTGTCAAACTATAGCAGGAAGGCGGGGGGGGGAGTAAGAGATCAACCAAAGGACTTGTATGCATACATATAAGGAAAACCGGGGGCAGGGGGTGAGGGCATGTGATGGGGAATATGGGAGGCAGGGGGGAGGTCGATGGGGGTAAAATGAGGCATATGTACTACTATGTGTAATACTTTAAATACTAAAAAAAAAAAATTAAATAAATAAATTGGATGCATTTAAACAGAAAAAAATGGTTTATCAACTCACAAGTATATAGGCAGACTTATTTAGACATGCAATTATAGTTGGCAAAAATATAAATAAGGTTAAGTAAAAGTCATTTTGTTAAATAATGTAGGATTTGTATAAATGATAGGTTTGGACTGAAAAGCAAAAGTAAAATGATAAAAATTGGGTTTTTAAAAATGTTCTTTTGTATAGTTATATGAAGAATGACCATGAAAAAAACTGAAAACAGGAAGATAGCCCTATCCTGTTTGGCTCAGTGGATAAAGTGTCGGCCTTCAGACTGAAGGGTCCCAGGTTCGATTCCGGTCAAGGGCATATACTTTGGTTGTGGGCACATCCCCAATAGGTGGTGTGCAGAAGGCAGCTGATCAATGTTTCTCTCTCACTGACGTTTCTAACTCTCTATCCCTCTCCCTTCCTCTCTGTAAAAAATCAATAAAATATATTAAAAATTTGAAAACAGGAAGACAATCTTCCTGAATAAAAAAAGGAAAATGAATGGCAATCAGAATTCCACTGCCCAGGGATAATCCAATAATTAAGATACATTTATAGGAAACACTTCCTTAAGAAGGCTGTTTCCTGTCTGGATACACAGCTGTTTACTTTTTATAGTATGTTAGTATTACTAACAACTAGGAAAGGAGAGTGATATTTAGAAGAGAACAAAACAGAAACTCTTGGAAGCAAGAAAGAAGCATGACTCAAGGAGGGAAATTCCTGTTGTCATTAAGGATTGCTGGTATATAAAATGCCCTCTATATGCCAACTAATAATTCCCTTCTGTGTTCAGCTTTTCTACTCCCTTCAAGAAGAGACCAAATCTGAAGCAGCAGCAACAAACATGAATGTGAAGGACATGGCTATAGTCTTGGCAGTGATATTATGTGCTACAATTGCTCAAGGTACATGATACTTTTTATTTCTCAGCCTATAAATTTCTTTTCTAATTCTTCTAATGTTTTTTCTTCCACTTTTACCCTAAAATAGATACTAAAGTTTATTTAACTTCACACATTAGAATTACTACATCTTTATCAGAGAATGTAAAAAATGTTTGAGATATTAGAAATGATTATGAAACTAGAGATGACAAACTTCACAAACTATTTGGTTACAAAATCTGACAAGAGCCTTTAGCAATAGTTTTAAATGTCTGTTAAAAAGATTTTTGTGAAACAATGGGACTAGCTTCCTGGAAAAATTTTTGAGAATAAAAGTAAAAGGCAAATAAGCTTTATCTTCAAGACTTGTTTTATGCTTTCATCTATTCTTTAATGATTTGTTACAAATTTAAAGAGAAAATCATTAATATGTTACTTAAGCTCCTTTCCTAGCAACAGCAGTGTCAAGTGCTATTTGACAAATGACCATTTTTACCATTAATGAAAACTTGGCTCACATTCTTCACCAGAATTATAAGCTATAGTTCTCTGTTGCAATCAGATCCATTAGTAACTGATGCTATGATCTGTTTTAGGTTTCCCAATGTTCAAAGGGGGACGCTGTCTCTGCATAGGCCCTGGAGTAAAGGCAGTAAAAGTGGAAGATATTGAGAAAATCTCTGTAACTTACCCAAGTAACAACTGTGACAAAATAGAAGTGATGTAAGTAATGGACTTGCTAAAGATGACAATGATGGAGGCATTTTGGGAGTGTTTTTGGCTTATGCTTTTCCATCCAAAATTCAAAAGTGTTTTGGATATTCCTTTAACAGTATCACCTTGAAAGCACATAAAGGACAAAGATGCCTAAATCCCAGGTCGAAGCAAGCAAACATTATAATAAAGGTAGGTTACCAGATTACTTCCATTTTATAATGTTTTATCCAAGACAGATTTTTTTTTGGGGGGGAGGGGGAAGTAGACAACTTCAGAAAAGATTCTATGATCCTGTATGAAGTGTTTTAATAAGGGATCTTTGGTTATAATTAGTTTTTCTTTTATGCTGTATTTGCTGTATGTTTTTGCATGTCACTCTATCACTGAGAAATAAGAACAGCCCAAGTTTATAACACTCTCATTTTCTTATTACAGAAAGTTGAAAGAATGAATTTTTTAAAACATCAAAGCACCTGAAGTCCTGGAAAAAATGATATGAAAACTCAGAACAAGTTTAACTGTGATGATGAAATGATAATGTCAAAAATTCTGTAATAGGGAAATGACTTTCTGCTGCCTATTGCAATGCATATTCATGCATTGTAGGATTTTTAAGTTTAGGAACCTTCTAGAAGATTTGATGTTTATAACTATTCTGCTATGAGGATGAAAACATTTGTATCTAAGTTATCTGCCTATACTTTATCTATATTCCATATTACAATCTGTAGTTATAATGGAGACATTACTATTATTACTGAAGTCAAGATCTTATGAGTCAAAGGCATCCATGCATATCATAAACATCTCCCAAAAATTTTTAATGCAAATCCACATTTCTTTTTTCAAAATTATACAGCACATATTTACCTAGGAAAGAAAGTTATTGTTTATAAAAAAGCAATAATTCATGAAATGTACTATAAAAAAATTACATTGGTAAGAATGTAAATATTTCCTAACTGAATTAGCAGCTCTGGTCTTAATTTGATTTTAGCAACTTTGTTTTTCATTGATATGTTTTGAAACAATTAGGATATGTATGTTTACTATGCATTTTGTTTTATCTATTTTATAAATTATGCAACATTTTGGACACATTTTAAATATAAAATGTTTTTTTCTACCAAAGAAAATGTTGAAAAGAAATAAATGCGCATATCTGGCATTTATCACCTTTGCTTTCTGTGATTCTTTTTCTTAGGAAAATACACAATCTTACCTTTGTAAATCACGGTCATACTATACAATTTAGGGATAGCTAAGATAGTTTTACTTTAAAAAGAATCAAAATCACTTTTCTCTAAGAAAGTACCACAACTTTATTTATATTGGTGGGTATAGGACAGTTGACATTTAACATTTACGGCACATACAGATGGTATTTGGACAATAAAATAATGAGTGGTTCATGGTGTGGTGTGCTCTGGTGGGAGATTGTGACCTGGGGGTCTGAAAAGGAAGATTACTTTGACATTCCAAAGGTATGTTACTATACCAGCAAAAGGACAATAGAGAGGCTCAATTAAGGTAAAGATTGTCAAGGAAGATTCAATCCTAAGACATGACTACCTACCATGACACACTTTTAGTTAGGAAGTTTTAATCTCTGACCATTCTATATGGTTTGGTTTAGGTCTCGGAGTTTGTAAGACCCTCTATGCAGCCTCCCCTGAGCTTTTCAGATTTAGTATGTGTCCCCTTTTTTGTCCACACTTTGTAAAAGACACATTCATATATCTTCCCAAAATTTGATATGCCTTTAACAATTTCATCTTGTATTTCAAAAAGCATAATGCTACCTGTCAACACACAGAAATATTTAGAAATACATTTTAATAGATAGTTGTGAAGGAAAAATCATCTCTTTTTAAGGAATCTTCCTAAATCCAAACCCCCTTTTTACTTGGGGGCAAATTCCTTATGTGAGTTTTGGTGAGAGACCAAACAGAAGCCATAGGAAGGAGATCCTTCCCTTCTTGGCAGCCAGAACAAGGCCTCTGCCAAGCCACTCCTTCCCTAGACTTTGAACTCCAACTAACACCTCAAATAAACCACTAGTAAGTAAATTATTTAAACTGGCAGTAGAAACAGTGTAGGTCCTGAAATGTTTGTGTGGCATGACTAGCTAGTATTCCTTGCCACCAAGAAACCTTAGGTTTTTGTCCAAGATTCTTTAGTCTTCCTTTGGATTCTTCAATTAAATTTCTCTTCTGCTGAAGCTAGCCAGTTGACTTCTCTGTCATGTAACCAAAAACCTTAGCTAATACAGCATTCTTTATATAGACACCTATACATTTGAAAAATAAAAATATGTTACAGAATTACCAAAAAAAGGACATTTCTGCTTATCTGAAAAAAGGACAATTTTACAATATGGACCAATCTTGAAAACTTTATACTATGCAAAAAAGGCAATTACAAAAGACATATTTATGATTCCTTTAAACAAACTATCCAGAATAGGCAAATCTATAAAGACAGACAGTAGGTTGGTTATTGCCTAGGGATAAGAGATAGCAAGAAGTGACTCTTAACAGATATGGGGTTTCTTTTGGAAATGATAAAAATGTCCTACCTTTGGCCAGGTGGTTAGAGTGTTATTCTACACACCAAAAGGTTTTCAGTTTAATTCCCAGTCAGGGCAGCCTTTCCGGCGGTGACGACCTCCCCACGACAATATGCCTCTTGCTAAGGATCTCCTCCATCCTTCTCCGGAAGAGGAGAAGAAGAAACACAAGAAGAAGCGCCCGGTGCAGAGCCCCAATTCCTACTTCATGGATGTCAAATGCCCAGGATGCTATAAAATCACCACCGTCTTTAGCCATGCACAAACGGTAGTTTTGTGTGTTGGTTGCTCCACTGTTCTCTGTCAGCCAACAGGAGGAAAAGCAAGGCTTACAGAAGGATGCTCCTTCAGAAGGAAGCAGCACTAAAAGCACCTCAAATCAAGATGAGTGGGAAACCATCCCAATAAACATATTTTGGATAAAAAATAATAATAATAATAATAATTCCCAGTCAGGGCACATACTTATGTTGTGGGTTGGGTCCTTGATCAGGGTGCATACAGGAGGCAACCAATCAATGTCTTTTTCTTATATCAAAGTTTCTCTCGCACACTCTCTTTCTTCCTCCATCTCTCTCTAAAAATCAATAAAAACAAAGATTAAAGAAAAAAATTTAAAACTATGGTAAATGCTGTATAACTCTTTCAATCTACTGTACTAAAAACTATTGAATTATATACCTTACATTGGTGAATTGTACATTAATTATATCTCAATAAAAAATTTAGAAAGAAAAAATAGAACAATTTTACTATATCCTTCCATTGATATCAAAGAGCCAACCATAAAGCAGATCAAAGAACTGACAAAAAAGTAAATAGAAAAGGAGGGTGCCTAGAACCTAATAGGCCTTCTTACTAACTGGCTTTTTGATGGGTTCCTATAGCAATAATGAGAAGCCAAAATGTTATCCAGGGAATTCTATCTAATAAAAGAGTAATATGCAAATTGACCAGCACTCCAACACACAAGATGGCTGTCCCATGTGGTCAAAAATGGTTGCACCCATGTGGACACAAGATGGCTGCCACAAGATGGCCAGAGGGGAGGGCAGTTGTGGGTGATCAGGCCTGCAGGGGAGGGCAATTAAGGGTGACCAGGCTGGCAGAGAAGGTCAGTTGGGGGTGACCTACCCTGTGGGGAAGGGCAGTTGGGGGGAACCAGGCCTGCAGGCGAGAGTAGTTGGGGGGGACTGGGCAGTTGGGGGTGACCAGGCCTGCAGGGGAGCAGTTAAGAACTGATCAGGCTGTCAGGGAAGTGGTTAGGGGGTGATCAGGCTGGTAGGCAGAATCGGTTAGGGGCAATCAGGCAGGCAGGCAGGTGAGTGGTTGGGAGCCAGCAGTCCTGAATTATGAGAGGGTCATCCTACTGCCTGTTTAGACCTGATCCTGGTAGGGACACACACCTTGTGCACAAATTTCGTGCAACGGGCCTCTAGTTTGTATATAAATCTATTATATATTTATACTGTGATATATAATATAGATATGCAGTATTACATGATGTATAATAGTATAAATTTATAAAATGTATAAATACATATTAAATATATAGTATAAACACATATATATCGTAAATCTACATAAATTTCTATATAGAAACTAGAGGCCAGGTGCACGAAATCCATGCATGGGTGGGGTCCCTAGGCCTGTTAGCAATCAGGGTCGACATACGGGGTGACTGGTGAGGTGGCTGGGGACCCCCGCTGGCACCCGTCTTGGCGCTCCTGGCACTGCCTGCTTGCTGGTCCTGAACCACACTGCCACGGCTGGTTGCCTCCCTCTGCAGGGCGACTGGCGTGGCAATAGGGGGACCCTCACTAGCACCCGCTTTGACTGGCCTGGATCTGCAGGCTGGGGACAGCTCCTGTATTCAGCATCTGCCCCTGGTGGTCAGTGTGCATTATAGTGACCAGTTGTTCTGCTGGTCATCCCACCATGCAGTTGATTTGCATATTAGGCTTTTATTATATAGAACTAGAGGCCAGTGTACAAAATTTGTGCATGGGAAGGTGTGTCCCTCAGCCTAACCAGCACCCTCTACAATATGGAACCGTTCAAGGGATGTCCAGCTGCCCATTTAGGCCAGATCCAGGTAGAATCAAGCTAAAACAGGCAGTTGGACATCCCTCTCACAATCCAGGTCTGCTGGTTCCCAAATGCTTGCCTGCTTGCCTTCCTGATTGCCCCTAACCACTTCTGCCTGCCAGCATGATCACCCCCTAACCACTCCCCTGCCAGCCTGATTAATGCCTAATTGCTCCCCTGCCAGCCTGTTTGCCTCTAACTGCCCTCAGGGGAGGGGCATGAGTGAGGGGATGAGGGGGAAATGGGGGGATAAGAAAAATAAAAACAAAAAAAAGCATGAAAAAAGAGAAACCTTCAAACAGATTGAGTAGTTTTGGATAATATTACTAGAAAAGAAAAGATTTTGCTTAGCATAATGCTCTCCAGGTCCATCCATGCTGCTGCAAATGGTAAAAGTTCCTTCTTTTTTATAGCATATAGTATTCCATTGTGTAGATGTATCACAGTTTTTAACCCACTCATCTGTTGATGGGCACTAAGCTGTTTCCAAATCTTAGCTATTATAAATTGGGCTGCTATGAACAGAGGGGTGCATATATCCTTTTGGAGAAAAATAAGTATCACAAGATCTCAGTCATTTGTGGAATATAATTAACATAAACTGATGAACAAAAAGAGAGCCAGAAGGAAAAATATTTTAGAATAGAAGTAATCCTGTTATTTGCAGATTTTTAATATTGCCTACAACTTTTGTGATATTATATTGTTAGTACAGTTTTGATAATATTATATTTAAAATCTTTTTTCTTAAAATATTAATGTTTATTGCATGTATATGGATAATTATTTTGTATCTACAATCTGGTAATATATTTATTTTGTATGATGTAAAAATAAAATTAAGAAAAATTTTAAAAAAGAAAGAAAATATTAAAATATTTAATTACTTTTGGCTGGTGAGTATGGTACTTAATATATTTAATATACCCATATAGAATTAATGTACCACTTTAGTATCTGTTTCTTTCTTTACTTTTTTAAAAATTTTCAGTGGCTTCCTGGCACGCTGCTCGCAGGGACCAGACGGGCGCCTGTAGCCCCCCACGCCAGACATGTAGCTCGAGCCGAAACCAGGGCTGTGGCTGAGGCCTGTGGCATCAAAGGAAGAGGATAGTAGCTGTTTCTTAAAGATTTCCAGAATCAAAAAATATAAATATTTCTGATGCAGTCAAATCATTCTAGAGATTAGTAATAGTACACTCTCACACACACACTGTTTGGATTATTGGGAGATAGACTGGGGGTGGGGGTGCCAAGGCAATGTTAGTAGTTTCTCCTTGCCTTGTTTGCAAACTTTAATAGATCATTATGTACACTGAAACTGTAGTTTCACTTAAGTACCACAGAAGGATAACTACACTTCCTGGAAATCCTGGCACTATGAATGCTAATGTAGTTACTTGGTACAGCTCAGTAAACTGGTAGGATATAGGAAATACCCTGAGCTGAGTTACTATAGACTTTACGTAATTTCCTATAAACCTTAATTTAAATTCTTCTTTAAATTGTTCACAAAAAAATTACAAATAACAGCTTGAAGAACACTAAATGATCATCTAAAACACAGAATAACATACACTATTGAACTTGATCGATTCCAATCAAGATCATATACCTTGGTTGTGGGCACATCCCCAGTAGGGGATATGCAGGGGGCAGCTGATCGATGTTTCTCTCTCATCGATGTTTCTAACTCTCTATTCCTCTCTGTGAAAAATCATTAATATATATATATATATATATATATATATATATATATATATATATATAAAATAAAATAGTTGTTTTTCATACAAATGTTATTTAATATGTAATGAGCTTATCACTAGGTTGCAGTAACAACTTTTCCTTACCTTGCCTGTTTCTAAGAAATCATAATTGCTTCCTACTGGATACCTTCAACATCTCTTGTTGGTTTCTTTAATTTTATCCACACTTCTCTAAGTAGAACTGTCATTAAATTCCTTTCAAAATTCCAGCTGAATACACTTTGTTTCCTTCCAAGTCCCTGTCTGATATACACTACTCTTGCTCCTGGTGAGGCAGATTCAGCAAGGGAATCTGCTTCTTCCCGAGGAACAACTGACGCTACAAATTTTAGATGACCAGGTGCCTTGATTTGTTGACTGGTGCCACAGATTTTGTCAATTGAGGCTGATGACAAAAACAGCTCAGAGAGGTGTAAGTATAGTAGAATGATTAAGAGGTTCTAAAATTACACTACCTGAATTCAAATTTTGCTTATAGAATCCCATTTTAATTTATTAAGAAATAGGTACACCTTAGAGTAGTTGTAGGATCAAATGTGTGTTTTTAAAAAGCACATCCTAACACAAAAAAGCATATAGTATTAATTTTAATATAGTATTGTATTTTTATTTATTATTATTATTTTTTAATATATTTTATTGATACTTTACAGAGAGGAAGAGAGAGGGATAGAGAATTAGAAACATCGATTAGAGAGAATCATCGATTAGCTGCCTCTTGCACACCCCTTACCGGGGTACATGTCCACAACCAAGGTACATGCCCTTGACCGGAATGGAACCCGGGACCTTTCAGTCCGCAGGCTGATGCTCTATCCACTGAGCCAAACCGGTTTTGGCCCAATATTTCTTATTAAAATAAAAACTGACTCAGAAAAGTAGAGGCATAATTATACCACATTTCTTTGGCACCTCTCCAAGGAGGAACCGGGAAACTAAAACTTACTGTTTCTCTGAAGTGAGGATTTTATGGTAAGTTAATTTTTAATGGACTTCTGGTGTAGATTTGAGTTAATCATTATTTTAGTTGGTGATATTATATACACTGTCATCTCTGATACATGCATGCATATATTTATATATTTATAGTATAATGAAGACCATGAACTCACCACCCAAAAAAATCAAGAACTGGAACATTAACAGTAATTTAAGATATAGCTGTGTTCCTTCCCTATCCCTTTTTCCTTGCTCTTCCAACCCCAAGATAATTGTTATCCTGAATTCTGTGTTTATTATTCCCTTGCTTTTGTAAAATACACATAACCTAACATTTTACTATCTAAAATATTGATTGATTATAGAAAGAGAGAG